AACCACTCACCCAAACTGGCAGTAGGGTACTACGTGCTGTGGGCCTGGCTGCCGCTCGATAACAGCTTGGCTGTGTAGCACCAAAGGTTCTTGTCGCGCATGAATCACTGGCGTGTTTCGACGCGCAGATGCTATAGGCTCTCACAGATGAGACGGGGCTGTTCGTTGTGTACATGTTCACGCGTCTGCCGCGGATTGTAAACCAAGAAAGTGAAGTACGTTGGAGGCCGCTAATGTCCAATTTAGAAATATTTAGTAAGTGCACTTTAAAATACCCGACAATACTTAGAAACGTTGGAACAAAATAATTATATGCTTCGGGTTTATGCTCGTATGAGGGAAAATTTCACTGAAAGAGCTAGTAACAAAAGCCGTATAATATTGGAGAAATCCTTGTGGCAGAAATGTTGCACGAGTTTGCTTCAAAACATTTTGCTGAGAATAACGCTAGAAGTACGTTGTGCACCAGTTGGTCAACTTTTTTAAATTGCAAATTATATGCGCATGACGTGCGAATAAGCATATGTGTTGTATCTTGACATATACGGGAACCAGGCGAACTTGATAGCAGGCGCTTACTGATTCCTTTGACATATCAGGGGCGTCTCAATACAAGGATGGAAACATGAGACCGATAATGCAGATAGCTGCCGGCTTTTTATAGCCTTCGCAAGGTGTTACAACATAGACACGCAGACAGGTACGAAGGAAGTAAGCGTCAACATCGTGGCTGCACCAACCTTATCACAGATAGCCTCCAGCTTGCGCCCAGCCGAACAGTGTCATGCAGTGCCATTATTGATTGATTGATATGTGGGGTTTAACGTCCCAAAACCACGATATGATTATGACAGACGCCGTAGTAGAGGGCTCTAGAAAATTTGATCACCTGGGGTTCTTTAACGTGCGCCCAAATCTGAGCACATGGGCCTACAGCATTTCCGCCTCCATAGGAAATGCAGCCACCGCAGCTGGGATTTGATCCCGTGACCTGCGAAGTCAGTAGCCGAGTACCTTAGCCACTAGACCACCGTGGCGGGGTGCCATTATTCATATGTAACATAAGTATATGCGTATTGACATTTAGGAAAGTGAGGACATTCATGTTCTGGTCGTCTCAATAGCAACATGGGCGGAACGACTGTCATATAGCCTTGCTTGGGTCCCCGCCGCGGTGGTCTAGTGGCTAAGGTACTCGGCTGGTGACCCGCAGGTCGCGGGATCAAATCCCGGTTGTGGCGGCTGCATTTCCGATGGAGGCGGAAATGTTGTAGGCCCGTCCGCTCAGATTCGGGTGCACGTTAAAGAACCCCAGGTGGTTGAAATTTCCGGAGCCCTCCACTACGGCGTCTCTCATAATCATATCGTGGTTTTGGGACGTTAAACCACAAAAATCAATCAAATCAATCAAGCCTTGCTTGGGTGGTTGTACTCAAAAAACAAAGTTTTTCTATAATACTTCTTAGTTTTCACTCACTACCTAAACACATGTGCACCACACATTTACAAAAAAGAAACAGCACCTATACAAGAGAGCTCGAATGTGAAGCTTTTCTCAACACACCATCGCTCGTATCATCTAGAACTTCTGGCCTGACTGAAATAGAACTTGCACCAACAGTACGAAGGATGAAACCTGCTACATCAGCATACTGTATAACGATGCTTTGAGTCCCCAAGCACTCGGCGCTGTGAACGTCTTCACACATAACACCAGGCGTGCGCGACAAGACAGCGCCCGTGGAATAAGAGGCAGCCATTAAGATACCAGTGTGGGAGTATGCATTAGGACATACACCTTTGATTGATTATTTGATTATTAATTATTCAATTGATATGTGCGGTTCATTGTCCCGAAATCACCATATGAATATGAGAGACGCCGTAGTGGAGGATTCCGGAAATTTCGACCACCTGGGGTTCTTTAACGTGCACATAAATCTGAGCACACGGGCGTACAGCGTTTTCGCTACCATCAAAAATGCAGCCGCCGCAGCCGGGATTCGATCCGGCGACTTGTGGGTTAGCAATTAAGCACCTTAGCAACTAGACCACCACGGCGGTGCTTTGGGGCATACACTCGGCGACCCAACTTGGTAAAAATAAGCTCATTAAAGAAAGACACATACATAGTGTATTTGTCGCGAAACTCGCTAAAGTCTCTCATTGTTGAGCTTGTGGACAAATCAGGCTTGATCACAAATGCGACTGCTGCTTAACATAGACTGACAAAAGCTGATTGCGTCAATTTTGTACGCACTTCTGGAGCCGTGCCTTCTTTACCGTACGTTTTTTTCTTCTGTCCAAGTTTGTCTTCCATAAACACACCAGTGTTTTTTGATGGGTGTGTGAAGCGTAAAATATTTGAACAACTGCACTCCTAAAAGGCGCACAAGTTCTGCTTCCCTCTAACACAGGTGGTACATCATATGTTCGAACAATGAAGGAGCATGTTTACGGTAATGAAACCTTGTGGCATTGCCAAAGTTCGTGCTCGTCACAGGCCATGTGACGTGGGTTTTATTCCGTCTGACCTAACGAAAGTTCTCATGGATCTCACTTTCATTAGATAGGTAAGAAAAATGGTTATGCACACATATAGTGTCAGGAAAACGTCTGTGTAAGACAGATATAAAGCTGATGATAGCGATAAAAATAATCGCGCCTTTCATCGAACGGACGAGTTCTTCGCATTGGTCGCGAGCCACAGTAAGTTGCTCGGCGGCTGAGGCAACTTCACAATGCACAGCGAATGTTCTAACGATGCTACCGCGGAACCACTACTCGCTACACGCAATGCTGACGTTGGCGCAGCACCAATGTATACGGGAACACAACGTACGAAGTCGTAGACAGCACGCCAAGTATAAGCATGTTTGCAGCCGAGAAATATAGAACGCCGTGGAGCCGCGCTCGGTCATGCCGAAGTGTTCAACTTACCCATAATAACGTAGAACTTGTTAGTGGGTCTCGAGCTCAAGGTTAGTAAAATCATACTTGGAAGCTCTTTGTTCGGGTCCGTGCTCATGGCGGGTAATCACTGTGAGTTCGGGGACGCTTTAGCACACGTAAGGTGGAAGCATGAAATTGCCACCGTATACACATCCTGCAAATCTTATGCACACAATGCCAGACTTTAGGGCAAGTTGTTTCTTGCCTTTGATGACGTCTAATTATAAGCGATGTTTGAAAAAACATCTATTTGGTGTATCTGAGACAGATGTAGTTATAAGGAGTGTCAAAAAATAGTAATTGCTCCGAAGGCACTTCACAGCTCTTATTTTGACTTGACGAATAGAAACGGTAATAAAAAGGAAGCTGTCCAAAACGCTCTCTCTGTTTCACTTTCTCTCCGCAGCACATACATGCTGTCCCATATAACTGTGGTTGTTGCTACTTACCAGAAGTGCCTCATTATTCTACGCTAGCCACACGAGGTGGAGAGTGCGAAGCGAGTGAGCTACATAGTATTAAGAGACATAGGTTGGCATATCAGACTCCCGTGCATTTCGAATTGGAGATTATCGTAAATGTTGGCAAATTATTACGCATGTTTTATTTTTTTTGCTTTCATTACCAAAGCAACTTTTGAATAGTGAGTGCTACAACTTTCCACTGTCAAGAGCAAAGCCTCAAATAGGCAAACCACACATTTTCCTGAAACATCAAACTGTGACGCATACAATAAAATTCTGTTCCTCACTGCATTTTGTTTTCGTTCACTCAAGAAATATTTTCTCTAATAAATACTCGGTTAGTTCTTGATGCACCTCATATTGTTCTTCTCCCAGAGTAATCATTGCTGGATACCCTTGTTTCAGCAGATTTCTTCTCCCACTGTTGTCTGTGTATAGCTCGTATCTTGTTTTGTTCATTACATTGTGAATAAAGTCACCATTTTTTTGCTACTTTGATGTTCCCTGGACCGAATTTACTTTTAGGGGTTTCTATCTCTCTAATTCACTTTCTGCTTGATAAAGAGAATAACATTAAAAAATAAAAAATTCTTGAAAAAGGAAATTGATAAAAATTTTGTTTTAGTAATTCACTTTTGACGAGCCCACTAAACAGCACTGCTTACTTCTGTTTTAAAAAAGAAAGCCCTGATAAGTGCTGCAACATGCGAAAAATCATGTATTGAAATACTCTGCCTTGTTCCAACTATGTACATGGCTGCAAATATATCAAGCCTATACGTGATTCAAGTAGGCTATATGAACCTAAGGTGTCCCACTGTGTCATATGCTAAAGTGGTGGATCAAATTCATGATACTGACTTTGATCGACTCAATAAATATGAGAGATAACAGACAATGGACAGACTCGATACTCTCAGGTAGTATGCGAGGAATTTTTGGTCTGCTGCCCACTCGTAATATGTACACGTGCTACGTGATGCCACCAGAAAAAAAGAATGTTGTCCACTTGCCTTAATGGCAACAGGGGGCGCTTACAGACGTTCCTATAACTAAGTGCACATATATCTATAAAGTGGGTGGGGGGGACCATTACTGTAGCTAAGTGGTAGAGCATTGGACGTGTTATTCGAAGGTCGCAGGTTTCGATACTGCCGGGGGCATGTTATCTCTTCGTCCACTTTTCTTTCTTCAAATTTATAATACAATTACTTCTAATAATATTCCACACAATTTCCTCGGCATCATTGCCAGTTAGCTTTTATTAATATTGTGTCAACGAGCTAATGAATTTACAAGACTTTGAATGAGAAGCTGGAAATGCAAGGCCGGCTGATCACCTAGAGTGTTGCATTCATTGGTCACACAAACGGATCACATAGGCCATACAGACACACATACATAAAGTGAAAGTAGTTAAAAAAGTTTTACCAAGGCTTGTGAGACCTTAGAAACGCCAGCAGTGATTGTTTAGCACGTAACGCGCGTTTGTCTTGCTATAGCTCCAAGTGTGAGTCGGCAACCAAGCGTGCCTGCTGCCGTTACTTAATAGAGGGCCCGTCCAAGCTCAATTTGTGTACTCACGGTCGCACTTAAGGTCCGGGCCGAACCACTGGGCTGAGCCATTGTAGAAGATACATTTGGCCACATCGAAACCCTTGGCGTCGTATCCTGGGAAGCAGGTGTAGCGCACCGTCGAGTTGATGACGAAGTCCCGGGCGCTGTCGCTCGCATTGGTGCGCGAGTGCGGTACACCTGGCGGGCTGCTGCACGACGCTGTGGGCACAAAAAGAATCCAGGGAAGCAGCTTAGTGTTTAGAACAGAGAGCTGAGCTAATTGGTATGTATACATTTAAAAAGAGACAGGGTGTGCAAACACATGCAGACACAAGAAAGATGTCAAGACACCACAAACGCTTAGTGTACATGCTTTCGTAGAACCACTGCTCTCATCGTTACCCTCCTCCTTTGTCTTCGGAATGGAGATTATAGTGTAGAAAAAAATTGATAACAAGGGCTATTACACCGCAAAGAGCAACGAGAGCGAGCATGTCTGCTTATAAACCGCTTTTATCAAAGCCGCACGTTTTTCTGTGATCGTCCGGAACTTGTATAGGCCTGCCAATTGAAAACGAGCCGAGAGAATCCAATAGGAAAAAGCATGGTAATTTTTTTTGTAAAAATAGCATTTCTTCCTAGCTAGCTGACTTCACTGATAGTACGCTAGACTTTATGAATTGCTGGCATTATTTAACGAGCTTTTTAGCAGAACGCACTTCCTTTTTCAATATAGGGCTCCGGGGACTGTTGCGGCAACAGCTTTGCACATTCTCACACGGTGGACATTTAACGAGGCTGCACTGCGCACCACCGTGCACATGTAGTCGAGGTAGCTTTTATCATTTGGTTCTTTTCTTGGTAGTGTATTTTTTTACTTACTAGCATGGACTTACAAACGGAGTCCTTGAGCGCCCTCTTTACCTATACCAGCACAAAAACATGCTGCTGGCGGTTACCACCGAAATTCACAGCTGTCGGTTTGGTAATGCTGGTTCAAATATTGTCTGTTACGATACTGGCTTAGTTCTCCTCGTCAAGCATGTACATTGTGAAAGCTCACCGCATGCTTCCCATAACATTTATTCCCAAGGTCTTCAGTAAGCTCAGTGGCTCTGTGTCTTCAGTAAGCTCAGCAGGGGCGATGGTTATTCCCGCGAGGCACATCACAATTAAATTCATGACATCGCATTTGACGTCGTCGACAGCTGCAGAACTCACCGCCATACGTGCATCTCTTGAGTTTATAGTTGGAGAACCTTCGGGAAATAGGTCTATCTTCTCAGACTCGAAGGCAGCTCTTCAATGTTTCATGTCACCCTTTCGCCATAGACCTAATGAACAGTTAGTAGCTGAAATAAGGCTTCTTCATCCCCTAGCAATCGAGAAACAGCACAGCATAGTGTATCAGTGGATACCAGGTCATTGCGGTATATATGGCAATGACCGCGCAGATGAGGCCGCTAGATCTGCACACGACGGTGCTTAATACACAGCCATCCCGTTCTTAAGAACCGACGCAGCTACAAGACTTCGTTCGCTTGCACGTGATCTCATGCTCGTTCAGTGGAACTCGACATAATTTACAAACGCGCGTCTACATAACTTGGATCCCGATCTGCAGCTTCGTCTTCCCTCAGGATATCCCGAGCTGAGGAGACTCTTCTATTCCACTTGTGGCTTGGAGTGGCCTTCACGAACGTATACTCCTACATCAATGGAATGTCCAGCTCTTCTACATGCACTTACTGCAGCTGCGAAGAAACCATCGCGCACCGTTCTATGTGAGTGCACCCATTTCAACGCGCAAAGACGAAAAATGACTGCAGCTTTGGATAGACTGGATGATCGGCCTTTGTCAGAACACAGGATTCTGGGTCATTGGCTGAGCCCATCCTCAGTCCAGAAGGCTTTGAAAGCTTTACTACGCTTTTTGCGGACAATTGGCTTCAGAGACAGACTTTAGTGTCTTATACTCTTTGATGTTGCCTTTCCTGTGTCGCTATTTTTTTGTAATTCTCTCTCTCTCTCTCTCTTCGCAACATTTCTTTCTACCACCTTTTATTCACCTCACCCCTTTCTCCAGCCCAGGGTAGCCAGCCTTTCTAAGAACTGGCTAACCTCCCTGTCCTTCTGCTTAAACTTTCCTCCTCCTGCCCTCCTCCACCTCTTCCTCTTCCTCCAAGGTACATAGGATGTACCGAATTTCTTTAATTGATCAGAGACAGCTGTCTGCCAAAGCCGCTGCGAATAGAGACACATTACTATCACGCTACAGAAGTGCAAATATAGAACCTTTGTGGCTCACGTACCCGCCATGCGCTTTCATGCGTACATCTCTGCGCTTTTGGTTGTTTCACAAATACTGGGCGAAGAGAAGTCTGCTGCTCGAAGCGTGCACTCCACAGACTGAGCGCAGCTTACTCAGGTAGATTCAATAAAACGCAAAATCACCTCTAGTAGGCGTGGAGAATCATAGTTGAAGTAGGCTGAACTGTCTTTTGAATGATTTGTCGGATGAGCTGCCGCAGCTGAAGCGGCTAAATATTCACTCACTATATCATAGATATTTATGAATCGAGAGGTAGAGCCTATCCTCACATGAAATGCTACCAATTCAGGAATATATACAGACTATAAAGTCACATGAACCTAGTGCAAACGAAAATTCAGAGTTCGCGACACGCATCCGCGACATGCAAAAGCCAAAATTGAGACTGTTACGCTTATACTGCACCAATTTTGTAGTACTTCTATTAGAGGTAAGTCTTTAAGTAAAATACTGCGGTGAGACTAGGGTTCACAAGAAAGAAAGTAATACATCTTAAATTACAGTTGACGCTGGAATGCTTAATGTGAATGATAGTGAAAACGTAATTGTTGCATTTCACTACGATATAAAAGATGACAGTGAAATGTCCTTTTGGTAGGATACGCATTGCGCGTAATTGCTGATGCGAGATCTGAAATATCCCAGGTAACGCTTTGCAGACGGCTCAGAGAGCCAGACTGTCGTGGTCTTTCGCTCCAGGCATGCAATTTTATTGCATTCCTCGAGATGTAGGAATTCTCACCCAAATCACGTCGACGGGAAAGAGTGAGTGAAAATTCCTCCGAACAAGGGATGTGCTCATTTGCGACAGCCAGTGCCCAAATGTAAAACACCCAATAAGATTTCTTCTTTAAATTTCATTTTGTTATTGCGACAGCAATTACATGGACACTCTCGACATGTTTTCGCCCTCACTGTGTTGTTCCGTATAAAGTTCAATCGCTACCTCTGTGTCGCATGTACTGCGCGCGAGTGGAAGTGCGCGAGCCCGAGCAACAAACGCTCATCTAACGTAGAGGAAACGCGCCTGCCGTCTTTAGTAGCACGACGGAGAAGCGGCTGCATGACTGCACACTTGGCTCAGCCGGTCGTGGTCCCGCGTGCTCCTCTTTGCAGTGATTGGCAGGTGATCTACACTTATGTAGTACGCGCCGCTTGGTTTGCGAATACGTGATGCAAAACACGAAGGTGGCTTCGCTGAGTGCAGCGGTCGTGTTTCTTTGAAACGGCCTTCCTTTAAGTAACGCCAGATGGGATGCTAGAGGAACTGGCTCTTAGCCCTTATCCGTACAGTATTTTGATTTGTTGCTATCACATTCATTGTTTTGGCTTTGCGACAAAACTGTGACTTCTTTAGCAGCCAAGCTGCTCAAGCTGTTGGCAACTTGTACCTCTACCCCCACCACCCTCCTTTCGTGTAAAGAACTATCATCATCATAAACTGGCGATCTTTCATTGATTTACTTTACAGTGATAATTGAAACTTTCCTCAGGTGGGTATGTGCCGCGAGAATCGGATAAGACCCCCTTACAGTGTACAGCAGCTGCGATTGTCAAATGAAAATGATCGCGTGACCATGATATGTATATAAAAAAATAGAAAAGGGCAGATAAATAAAGAGATAGAAAGAACGAAAAACAAAAAAGATAGAAAATTAAGCAATAGGAAGAAATTTCTAGAGAGAGAAAGACACTGAAACAAAGGAATAGAATGAAATAGATACGACGTATAAAGAGAAAAAGTAAACAAGAAATGAAGAGGAACAACAACGGCTATCCGGCTGCGCGATGCCTTAAGGCTTGGCATCGCTAGTGTGAAGCTGCCAAAATATTTAAACGATTTACGCTGCTATTGTTAAGTCATAACCAACTCGGGTCGAGTTAAGCTTCTATGATATGCCACAATTTTAGAGCCAATATTTACAAATAAACAACAAGAACACTCATAAATAACCGAGATGGCTTCGACTATACAGTGCAATAGGCACCTGAATGGTGTGCAAGTTGCAAGACATTGCAATAGTTTCCAGGGCTTCATTTTCTCTTAGTGTGCCTGAATTGAGCCCAAGCCTGGACACTTTTATTAATGTCACTATGACAATATACGACAAAAAGCGACGCTTTATTTTAGCCAACCATTTGTCAAGCGTCTCTTCGCCCTATTTTTTATAAAGTTGATGCATATTAAAAAAAATAAAACACATAATTACAAAGAACTAATTCGCCTTCTAAGTGGGGCGGTAGCGAAAATAGAGCTACTCGTAATGAAGAGATAGATGACTGAAGATATCACTAGCGTTTTGTTATATAAAAAAGGATATATTATCAAGATAACGCAAGCGCTTTCATTGCTACGTCTAGAATGTGCAAACTGCCCACCTGCTTGGACCTAAGTGTCTGCAGTATGTAATAAATAAATAAACAAATAAATAAATGAATAATACTTCCACATACCTAAAAAAACTAGAACAAAAAGCGAGCATTGAACATCCACATGTAACGAATATTTCAACAGAACAAAACAGAATTAACAGAACACAAGAGCAGCCGCTCCGACGTTGTCTTTTTCAGAGTGGGTGCTGCCTACGCTCATAACTTCGTCGTCTTCTGTCTTCTTTCCCGGCCTTTAGCCGTGACAATAGCCTCCCATTCGAGAAAGCATCGTCCCGATGCTTTATGATCAAAGTGGTTTGTACTCGTTGGAAACGCATGAGTTCATTCGGAGAAAATAAGGTTTCATGTGGACAACGTGCACAACTTCTGAAGCATGCCTTCGACGCCTTAAGGAGTGCGCAGTATGAGGAACAACCTCATAATTAATGTCACTAGGACGGCGTAGAACTTTATGGGGCCCGAAGTACCGTCTTAATTGTTTTTCTGAGAGGCC